TCAGCAGAGTTTTTTCTCATTTACACCTCTCAGCATAGTGAGGAGCAGAATACGGTCTAAAACTGTAGAAGACATCGCTCTGGTTACATTTGCCATTTTAGCTTCGATATTATTTGCTCCTGATCTCTCTCCAAATGCGGAGGTTTTTACAGACCTTGAGGCTAACTTAGTTGAGGTTAAAGCTTTCTTTGCTGCCTGCCCTGGGCCTGCTGCAGTTTCTGCACCACCAAAAGCGTGAAGCCATGGCTTAGGTCCTGTGAGTGTTGAGTCTGTCAACACTCAGGTGTCACAGTTGACACAACAGGAACTTACCTGGGTAACAATTCTGCAAAGCAAAGCCGTCTGATGAGAGATAAGCCAGAGAGCATCTGAATTAATTAAATAGTTAATTAATTGAGTATGGGAAGGATTTCAGCCTCCCAACAAAAGCCATAGCCCATAGAGGCTTGCATCAATGGGCACCCAGCCCATAAAAGCTCTGGGATGTGTGAGCAATCCCCACCGGGGTGTTTTCCAGAGGTTTCTCCATGAGAAAGCTCTCAGTAGCTGAAGTCCCCACTGTCACCTTTGCACAGGCGGTGCCATCAAGCAGATCAGGCCACGGGCTCTTCCAAGGGCTGCACATAGAATCATAGAATTGCTGAGGTTGGTAGGGACCTTTAAGATCATCAAGTCCAACCATTAACCTACCCTGACAAAACCACTTCTAAACCATGTCCCCAAGTACCACATCTACCCTTTTTTTAAACACCTCCAGGGATGGTGAATCCACCCCCTCCCTGGGCAGCCTCTTCCAATGTTTGATAACCCTTTCAGTGAAAAAATGTTTCCTAATATCCAATCTAAACCTCGCCTAGCTTGAACCCATTTCCTCTCGTCCTATCACTTGTCACCAGGGAGAAGACATCAGCCCCCCTGCCCGAAAGGTCTCCCCTCAGCCTCCTCTTCTCCAGGCTAAACAACCCCAGTTGCCTCACAGCTCATAACTGAGGAGAAAAATGGTTTGCAGATCCATTGCTTGCAATTAAACACCACAGCCACCGGCCTGGCTCCAGACACTGCTCATCATCCCTCACCTCTCCCTGGATGCTGTTTTTCCTTCTTCTTTGCAACGCCTTCCCATGGCATCTCTTTGCTTCTCTTTGTCTTCTCTTCCCTGCAGTTCAGGAGGAGCGTGTGAGCCTGGACACTATCTGTGATCAAATCCTCCCATTTTGCCCCAGTATCCAGAATTGCAAAAGCAGGGACACTGCAGGGGACGTCCTTGCCTATCCTTTCAAGACCCACTGAAATTTGTCTAATCCTTTCTGGGCCTGCTGGTGTTTTCTACCTCCACACCTTCCTGTGCCAGCAACGTCCAGAAATTCACTGCCCATGTTCAGCAACTTTATTTCTATTATAGTCTTTACCACCTTTGTTTGGACAGAAGAGAGTGCTGAGCTACTGCGTACCCCCCCTAAGTGCCCCCCCCCCCAGTCCTTTCCCAACAAGGACCCCCCTAATGGTGTCCTGCTTTTCAGGCAGTTACTGACGTTTCTATTATCAGTTCAGGCGCCTGTTGCAAAGACATCTTCCCTTTCCTTTTTCGCCCTCTTTCCTACCCGCATCTGGCCTGCCCCGTTTTATGGGAGTTGCCATTCTCCTCTGCCAGCCTTTTTTTCACCACCGAGCTCTTCCCTTCCAGAGCCTCCCTTGACTTGCCCTTCGTGCCCTGCAGGGATTTTTCTTAGACCTCTTTGTTTTCTTTCCCAGTCGAAGCAAATATTTTGCTGAGGTTTCTAGCACAGCCTTTTTTAACACCTTTCAGGCTGCCTGCAGGCGTCTCGCTCCTCTGGATTGCTCCTGTTGGTGCTTTTCTTTCCTCCTATTTGCTTTTTTTTGAGGTTAAATATTCACACATTGACTGTATTTTGTACCACAACATGGTTAAGCTTAATTGCACCGTGGTCATTTTTACCGAGCAGCTGTCTCACAAACAACTTTTGAATTAGGTCTATTGCACCACTCGCAACCAAATCCAGGAAGGCAGCTCTTCTTGTGGGTGCCAGGACTGGTTGTTCTAAGAATCACCCTTTTAGGGCAACAAAAAATTTGAGCCCTGCATCTCTTAACATCATCCATGATCACATCTCACAACCGCTCTGCTGCATCGCCTCGAGCAGGGGAATGATCTGCAAAAGATGTGACTCGCTGTCTGGGTCCATCCGGGAAGGACTATTGCTTAAACCCTTCTGTATGGTGTTGAGAAATGTTTGCAGCTGGGGTGTGTAGCAAAACACAGGTTGAAACTGGTGCACACAGGTAGCTCAACACGTGAGGGCCAGCTGGGTCCATGTGATACCATCTGTAGGCAAGCCAGGACTCCCTTTGCCTCCACTACCTCCTCTCCTCTCCACGGGGGCAGTGCTCATTGGGGAACACGGTTCTGCAGGTGGTTTTGATGCTCCTCATTGTTCCTGTCCACCCGATGAGTAAAGCATGGACTGTCCAGCTCCCCAGTCTTGTTGGGCTTCACTGAGCCTCAGACTGGGAACCCCCTTCAAACGATGAAGGCATTTCCAGATCAGTATAGCCCCGACTCTCACATTATCCATGTTTTCCATTGAGCAAATCTTCCCCGAGTTCTGTGAAGAGGTTTTTCCGTGCCTGCCCCGTGATACCCGTGACATGGCTATTCAGATTTCTGGGATGTGGTGGCCATCAATCATCCTCTATGCCAAAGGATCAGTTGCCCCCCAGTTGTTGGTCACAATTAACAATGGTTTTGCATGCTGTATTGTTAATAACGCCTGAGTTTATTTTCAAAGGACATAAACAATGTAGGACGTCAGAGCACAACTCCCAGGATCTTTCCACTCCTCCTGGCTGTGGGTGACCAGGAGACAATGACCTTCCTGACACTTCCCCATTCTGCGCTCCGGTTTCTTCATCAGTGCAATGTGAGTAGCAATTCTTGCATACTCTGTAAAGCTCTTCATTTCCTAATTGCAATGATTATACAACCGCTGAGGAGTCTTATTTATTATTCCTGAAAGCCAGCCCTGTGACAGAGTCACTGCAACTTTTTGGCATATCACCAAATACCTGCTTTTTGCTATTATTTTTTCTTATTCCTGAACAAAAAGGGTTAAAATTAATCCCAGGTGGATTAATTACAACAGCAGGTAACTTCTGTTTGCTTGGCTATCTCCTACGGGTGGTGCAAGCCTCAGTTCACGAGTACAAAGGACTTCCAAATCGCGAGATGGAAGGAGTGATTAAGGTTCGAATGGCACCTTTGGGCTTGGAGAGCTTGATTATTATTAACGATTTTGTTTCTTTGGTGGTGGGCATGTGCTATGCAATGATGTCAGCTGCAGTGCGTTTGCAGGACTGACCTGTGCCTGGAGAAGCTGCTACACCAAAAGCAGTGGAGGGTAATCAAACCTCCTCTTGACTTAGGAGATGACCTAGGAAACCTTTCCCAGGTTTGGGAGCTGCCTGCCGATGAGATGTGGCTGGATGTAAGACCCACAGGACCTAGGCCTTAGACCTCAGGAACCGGGGGGTTCAAAACGCTCCTCACCGATTAGCTGTTTAAAGCGCTTTGTGTTTTTACTCATGCTTTATTAGATATTTACACAACTCAAATAGTTGGTGAACCACAGCCTCTTCGGACACAGCGAATATGTGTTAGGGGAGAGAAAAAGAGCAGATTGCTTCAATACTGGAAGTTTTAGGTGTTTTGTAGAACCTGTAAGAGAGCAGCAGAACATCCCTGAAGACTTCAGTTTCCAGCCCTTGCTGTATCACAATAGAGGTCAAATGAGAGTTGACCAGAGCTTCTCTCCAGAATAAGGTCTGAATCAGCCAGATGTCCTCTGAGAACCTGGACAGATGACCGAGCCAGGACAACATCATCTGAGGATACAGGATGGGAAAGGTGGAAGATGAAAGACCTTCTCTTGACATGATTATAAGCGGATATGGGAAATAAATCGCCTAATGGAAGAGAAAAGGGGTCCCACAGGGAAGATGGGAAAAGGAGGGTTATATTTCACATTTACCCATCTGTTCAGGAAAGACAGCCATTGTGCGTGGGGAAGGTGGGCAAGTTAGCAGACATTGGCCAAGGTACTTCTAAATATTACATTGGCAGGAGCAACTCAGTGCCCCAGGGGAGGGAGAAGGTCTGGCCGGAGGAGCTGAGACCTCACCATGCAGGACCTGGCTGGTGAGGGTGAAGGCAGACAGACAAATCACAGGCAAGGAGAAGGTGAGGATAGAAAGCAGTGGTGTCCCTGCCCTGCACCCCTTTGGCCTGTGGCAGGTGAAAAGGGCAACGTGGAAGTCCAAGAGCTGGAGGAAGGTCCCAGGGGGGCTGCACTGTCAGCTCTGAGCCTTGCCTAGCACCTGCCCTCCACACCTCACCCCTCCATGGGCTCAACCAAGGTGAAGCAGCAGGGCCATAACAGGGAGCCCCTTCCCAACTAAACTTCTTCGGTGGTTGGAAATCGGCCTTGTGCTCTCCCCTTGGGACACCAGGGTGGCAACCAAGGACATCAGGGCTCCATGGGTGGCTGCCACAGGAGAGCATATGGGATGGGTGAGGTCTGCTGTGGTATCTCAGCATCACATGGGACACATCACACTCTCCCCCACTACAAGGAGGAAATGTGCCTGATTCCCACCACAAACCACCCTTGGCAGGGAGAGGAGAGGAGCTACCCAGTTTCAGGCTGTCAGTTCAACCCTGCCTTGGTGACAGCGGAAGGACAGGGTCCAGTGGATGAGGAGGTGCCACAGAGTGATTTCCCAGGTGTGGATACATGAGTGAAGAGCAGACACATGACCACATGCTTCCACCAGCTACTTCCACCAGTAACTTCCACCAGCTCTGAGGAAAGACAGCACCAAACCCAACACGTACTCACATAAAGAAGGACAATACCGCACTACTGCTGCCACTGCTAACGATGCTCCCAACGCTACCAGCCGCTGCACGGACCGCAGAGGGTCACCATAAGGGCCTGCAACACTTTGCCAGTCCATTGTAGCAGGTACCGGTGGCTCTCTTAAACAAGGGACACAGCAGGAACGAACACTCGCCCTTGGTCTTCCGACACGTCACAGTGTCTGACACTGGAATTGAGAAAAAGAGCTGGTAAGCATCTTTCTTTGTATTTGCACACCTGTTCCCATGTTCGCAACATCTCCACCTGTAGATAGTGCAGATGGCATCTCCGTGAGATGGTCAACCTGCTGTTGAGTTTTGCGGTGATGTCCAAAAGCACTCGTGAGTTCTGCAGAGGGGCACCGCTCTCTCCCCTTGGCACTGGAACGGCTAACTGGAGTTTTCCCAGTGCTAGGCAGGCGGGTTCAACGCCACGTACCGCCACATCAGCTCCACGTGTATCACAAGTTCCTTCCTCATTTACAGAATCGCTCCCCATTTCCCAAACACAAAAATGCCCCTTCGTTGTATCTACACTTACCTGCAGCAGCCTGGGACACCGCGGGGAAAAGAAGAAGAAGCAGGATAAGTATCTTCGTGGCTTTTGTTGACATTGTGGAACTCCACCACAAAGCTGCTGAGACCAAGAGGCACTGCGAGAAGAAGGAACTAACCTGTATTTATAAGGCTTTGATGAGTGCAATCTGCAGGGATTTAGCAATCCTATTTGGACCCAAATAATATATTTAAAGGACGCACATTGCAACCTCTAATTACAAACGCTTCTGTGGGTAGATACCACTGCATGTCCCCGCCCTGAGAGGAATTATCCTCTTAACACTAGCACCTGCTGGCTCCCGTGTCCTGATCCAAAGCACCGTCTCCTCCAGGAGCAGCCCCAACAGGCAGATGTTTCAGCAACTGTTTGTTCAGAGCGATGACCATGAGCACAGGACCCACTTCACCTCAAGGTATTCGCTCGCTCAAATCTTAATACGATGCATCTTTGCCTCCAGAAATCCAGATTCTGCACAGAAAGGAATATTTTAGTCCCAACAGGAGATTGCCCAAAGCCACGTGGAGACTGAATGTTGGAGCGTGTCCAGAGAAGGGCAACGAAGCTGGTGAGGGGTCTGGAGGACAAGTCTTATAAGGAACGACTGAGGGAACTGGAGATGTTTAGCCTGGAGAACAGGAGGCTGAGGGGAGACCTTATCACTCTCTACAGCTACCTGAAAGGAGGGGGTAGAGAAGTGGGGGCTGATCTCTTCTCCCTGGTGTCAAGTGATAGGATGAGAGGAAATGGGTTCAAGTTATGTCAGGGGAGGTTTAGATTGGATATTAGGAAACATTTTTTCACTGAAAGGGTTATCAAACATTGGAAGAGGCTGCCCTGGGAGGGGTGGATTTGCCGTCCCTGGAGGTGTTTAAAAAAAGGGTAGATGTGGTACTTGGGGACATGGTTTAGAAGTGGTTTTGTCAGATTAGGTTAATGGTTGGACTTGATGATCTTAAAGGTCCCTTCCAACCTCAGCAATTCTATGATTCTATGATTCTATGAATCCAGAATGAGCCCCACCAAGATATTGTTAGACCTCTCTGTGTGCAGGTCCAGCAGCACAGCAAACAAGTCTCTGCAACTTCTCACGCTCCCACTTCAAGAGGGGATTAAAATACGAGAAGGCGCAGCAGGAAGTCCCCAAAAATCACCTGAAGGTCGGAGAAACAGCTTGGCGTGGAGGACCTGGAGGACCTTCATCTGCTAAGATGGCTAAATGCAATAGAGGTGACTTCCCCATCCTCTACTTGTAGCTTCGTTGGAGACCTGAGGGTTTTTTTCTTAAGCAAGAGCAGCTCCTGGGCGCTGAAACTCAGCCGAGAAAAGTGCAGCCAAACCGGTGGCTGGATGGCAGCCAGAGCAACTGGGAGCTGGCAGTGAAACTGGGGAGGGTGACTCGCTCTGGGAATATCTTCTGGAAGGCTTTCCGGCTTTAGTCCTTCCCTGCTTGGCATTGTTTCGGGGTGGTAATGGCACGTCTCGTGTGGCATGGGAATTTATTCCTGGCTTGGCACAAAGCCTTTGGGCAGGAGGAGGGACCGATTTTGTCAGCAGTCACGTTGAGACGGAGAAAAGGCTGTCGAGGCACCTCGAACCCTTGCAACGTCCTCACTGCTGGAGCTGCCAGCAAAGACTTGTTGCTTCGACAGCCCACCTTCAGCTTTGGAAGAGCCTTCGGTGCCCGTTAGAGGCTTCATTGTGCTTTGCATGCAAAAAAGTTGGGTTTTCTAGGAACGGGCCATTTGGCAACCGTGGTATTTGTTGCAGTATCAACTGTGGAGGACAAGGCTTGGAGACAGCCAGGACTGAGCTTCACTTGGCTCCACAGCCTTATTTACACCCCTGACTTTATTAACATGCTTCACTGGAGCCAGGCACAACGAATTAACATTGTTAGTTAATGAAACACTTTACTGAATAGGGACACGGCAGCGGGACAAGAGGAACAGTAGGCTCTCCCTTCCACCCCTGACTTCTTTAACCCACTTGCTACCAAATCCAAACGCCGGAGCTGAAGTTGCAAGGATGCAACGTTCTCACGCGCTTGGTCAAAACTAGTGCTGGAGACCAAGCGGAACCCCTGGTGATGCTGCCTCAAGGAGGGACAATCAGGCAATGACACCTCTGAGCAGTTTGGCTTCCCTGCCACCAGCACGTCCACGGCCCCAAGCACAAACGGGATATGTAGTGATAGGACAAGGGGGAATGGCTTTAAACTGGAAGAAGGGAGATTTAGATTAAATATTAGGAAGAAATTTTTCACTTTAAGGGTGATAAGGGACTGGCCGAGGTTGCCCAGAGAAGTTGTTGAGGCCCCATCCCTGGAGGTGTTCAAGGCCAGGTTGGACAGGGCTCGAAGCAACCTGGGCTGGTGGGAGGTGTCCCTGCCCATGGCAGGGGGGTTGGAACTTGGTGATCTTTAAAGTCCCTTCCAACCCAAACCATTCTGTGATTTGATGATTTAGTTCATCGCTTACATACAAATATCGAAGAAGGGCATTATAGAGCATGTCAGGGACAGGCAAAACGTACTGGGGACCTATAGAGAACGCTGGAAACCGAGCTTTTGTACTTCAGAAAGTCCCCACTGAACGGATGAGAAACATTGCTCCCATTAAGCAGCAGAGTCCAGGCTTTGTTCCCAAGGTTGCAAAGAAACCAGCTAAAATTTCAAAAAGTGACAGCAAATGCGTGACAGCCCCCAAACACCCGCGCATCCCGGCGTACAAAGCTTTGGGAGCTTCCTGCGTGGCTCTGCAAAAGCAGCGACAAAACCCTAGATGATATTTGGACCTAATTAAAAAAACCCTTCATGGTCTTTCCTGTAGCGACTTCCTGAGGATTTATTTTCTAAAAAGCACGTGCTTCTCAGGGGATGGAGTCTGAAGGGCTGGAGATCGGGGAAAAAAGCAGATAGGACACGTCTCTGGACACACAAGGACACCCGTGATCACCAGCGGTTGGGATCACATTTCACAAAGGTTTAATTTCTTGGGTTGGCGGGGGGATGACACACAACCAAATTAATTTATGGCTCTGTGAACATCATGTCCCGGCTGCCACCTAGTGCTCATCCCAGCGATGGATGGACATCACTTGGGCATCGTGCATGGGGACATCGGGACGGGCTTGTGCAGGTGCATAACAACCTGGGGGACATTAGAATGGGCTTCTGCGAGTGCACAACAACCTGGAGGACATTGAGATGGGCTTATGCAGATGCACAACAACCTGGGGGGACATCAGGATGGGCTTGTGCAACAGCACAAGAACACATGGACATCGGGGTGGGTTTGTGGAGGTGCACAAGAAACTGGGGACCATCAGAACATACTTGTGCAAGTGCACAGCAACCTCGGGGACTTCAGGATGGGCTTGTGCAGGCGCAGGAAAACCTGGGGACCATCAGGATGGACTTGTGTAGGCGTAGGAGAACCTGGGGACCATCAGGATGGACCTGTGCAAGCCGGCAACAACCTGTGGGACACGGGGACGGGCCCTGTGCAAATGCACGACGACCCCAGGGGTCTCGGGTTGGTGCCACCTGTGTGGCCGCAAGACGCCGAAGACCCCCCGTGACGCAAGCGGCATGACGTGAAGAAAGCGGCGTGAAGAAAGCGGCATGACGTAACATAGCCCGGCGGGAGAGAAGCGCGGCGGAGGAGGGGGGAGGGACACTTGGGGAGGGGACCGGTTTGCAGCATTTTAATTTGAAGAATTGAATATTTTTAAAGCTATTTTGTTTACTTATTTATTTATTTGCAGCATTTTAATTTGAAGAATTGAATATTTTTAAAGCTATTTTGTTTACTTATTTATTTATTTGCAGCATTTTAATTTGAAGAATTGAATATTTTTAAAGCTATTTTGTTTACTTATTTATTTATTTGCAGCATTTTAATTTGAAGAATTGAATATTTTTAAAGCTATTTTGTTTACTTATTTATTTATTTGCAGCATTTTAATTTGAAGAATTGAATATTTTTAAAGCTATTTTGTTTACTTATTTATTTATTTGCAGCATTTTAATTTGAAGAATTGAATATTTTTAAAGCTATTTTGTTTACTTATTTATTTATTTGCAGCATTTTAATTTGAAGAATTGAATATTTTTAAAGCTATTTTGTTTACTTATTTATTTATTTGCAGCATTTTAATTTGAAGAATTGAATATTTTTAAAGCTATTTTGTTTACTTATTTATTTATTTGCAGCATTTTAATTTGAAGAATTGAATATTTTTAAAGCTATTTTGTTTACTTATTTATTTATTTGCAGCATTTTAATTTGAAGAATTGAATATTTTTAAAGCTATTTTGTTTACTTATTTATTTATTTGCAGCATTTTAATTTGAAGAATTGAATATTTTTAAAGCTATTTTGTTTACTTATTTATTTATTTGCAGCATTTTAATTTGAAGAATTGAATATTTTTAAAGCTATTTTGTTTACTTATTTATTTATTTGCAGCATTTTAATTTGAAGAATTGAATATTTTTAAAGCTATTTTGTTTACTTATTTATTTATTTGCAGCATTTTAATTTGAAGAATTGAATATTTTTAAAGCTATTTTGTTTACTTATTTATTTATTTGCAGCATTTTAATTTGAAGAATTGAATATTTTTAAAGCTATTTTGTTTACTTATTTATTTATTTGCAGCATTTTAATTTGAAGAATTGAACAGTTTTAAAGCTATTTTGTTTACTTATTTATTTATTTGCAGCATTTTAATTTGAAGAATTGAACAGTTTTAAAGCTATTTTGTTTACTTATTTATTTATTTGCAGCATTTTAATTTGAAGAATTGAATATTTTTAAAGCTATTTTGTTTACTTATTTATTTATTTGGAGCGTGAGCGCTCATTATCAGAGGGCCCTTCTCCAGGCCAGCCCCCTCAGTGGCGATGGCTGTGCCACCACTGACAAGCTACCGGGAAGCCGGCGGCCGGAGATAAGAGGAGGACTAAGGACTTCACACACACCCCTCCTCATTGACTGGGAGATGAATTTGGGATGGGCTGTGGGTACCGCCCATCAGTCACAGGGTGTGGGTGGCTGTGGCATCCCTCAGCAGTGCCTCTCTGACATTTTCCAGGGCTCTGCGCCATCATCCACTACCTGGTCCGTGGGCAACTGGGCTGGTTGGGGCTGACCATCGCCTGCGTGGTGCCCGGCTACACGGCTCAGCTCCTCAGCATCCTCTGGTTCAGGGCGGACGGCCACCCACTCAACTCCTGGCTCCTGGTGCTCCATCTCCTGCAGCTGGGCCTCTGGAAGCGGTGAGAGATGCTCCCCATGGTTCATCCGGCCACCCCACCCACCCCCAACCCAGTTGGCAGTTCCAAACCTGCCAAAACCAGGGTGGACATGCCATCACGGTGACTCTTGCAGGTACTGGGATGTTTTGCGGTTGGCGGCAAAGACGGGTGGCAGTGCCCGTGCCGGGCAGGGGCTGGCGCAGCACGGGGATGTGTGTGTGCTGCGGCTCCTGGAAGCCCTGCTGCAGAGCCTCCCTCCCCTCCTGCTGCAGGCCTACGTCGTCGTGGCCGTCGAGCCAGCGGGCTTCGTCCCCGGTGAGCAGGGAGTTCCCAGGAGGATGCTGAGTTGCAGAGGGGTGATGCATTTGGGTGGGGGATGCATGTGCCCAGCTGGGGGGGCGCAGGGCAGGCTCTGCATCTGCAAAGAAGCTGGGAAGTCCCAGTGCAAAGCAGCAGGGACAAATCATAGAATCACAGAATGGTTTGGGTTGGAAGGGACCTTGAAGATCATCAAGTTCCAACCCCCCCTGCCATGGGCAGGGACACCTCCCACCAGCCCAGGTTGCCCAAGGCCACGTCCAACCTGGCCTTGAACACCTCCAGGGATGGGGCAGACACAGCTGCTCAGGGCAACCTGGGCCAGTGCCTCACCACCCTCACAGGAAAGAATTTCTTCCTAAGATCTAATCTAAATCTCCCCTCTTCCAGTTTAAAACCATCACCCCTCATCCTGTGGCTCCACTCCCTTATCAAGAGTCCCTCCCCAGCTCTCCTGGAGCCCCTTTAGGTACTGGAAGTGGTTCTAAGGTCTCTGTGGAGCCCTCTCTTCTCCAGGCTGAAGCCCCGCAACTCTCCCAGCCTGTCCTCCCAGCAGAGGGGCTCCCCCTCTCTGATCATCTTCACAGCTTCCTTTGGACCTGCTCCAACAGGTCCATGTCCTTCTTATGTTGGTGGCCCCCAAGCTGGAGGCACTACTGCAATGGGGGTCTCCCCAGAGTGCAGCAGAGGAGCACTTACCCCCCTTGCCCTGCTGGCCACACTGCTGGGGATGCAGCCCGGGATGCCGGGGGCTCTCTGGGCTGACAGACCACATTGCCGGCTCAGGTTGAGCTTCTCATCCACCAACACCCCCAAGTCCTTCTCCTCAGGGCTGCTCTCCATCCATTCTCCACCCAGCCTGGATTTGTGCTTGGGGTTGCCCCGACCCACGTGCAGGACCTTGCACTTGGCTTTGTTGAACTCCCTGGCAAGACAGTGCCGTGACTGGGTTTGAACCCAACACATGTTCCGATTGATGGTCCAGCCCTAATCACAGTGCCGTGCTGAGCATTTAGGGTTTTGGGGCTGCTTTGTAGAAAAGGTGAACTTTCAGGCGTGCAAAGGGAGACATTGGGGTGTGTGGAGTCACGGTGTGCTCAAGGTCCTGCTCAAATCAGTGTCAGTCTCTGGTCCGGTCGCAGTGACCAGACATGGATCGGCCGTGCCACTGCAAAGCTCTGCCTGTGGCGGAGAGCGGTCAGAGGATTTAAGATGCCGAG